TTGGGAGAGATCCTTCTTATTCCCATTTGAAGGTGTTTGGATGCAAGGCCTTCATGCATGTGCCGAAGGAACAGAGATTGAAGCTTGACTTCAAGACTTCTCCTTGTGTGTTTGTTGGATATGGTGATGAAGAGTTTGGTTACAGACTTTATGATCCAGCAAAGAAAAGAGTCGTGAGGAGTAGAGATGTTGTATTTTACGAGCACGAGATGGGTTTTCATCTCTTAGGTGCTGGTAATACTTATTATCCTGATTTATCTCATGGTGCTATTGATATGTCTCATGTTTTTGTTCCAGATGTTCAACAAACAGGTGATTCTCCCGATGATGGTCATGAAAATACTCATGAACATGACCGTATTGAAGAGGTACAACCAGAGATTGTGCCACAACCTGATGATGAAGCTGTTGAAACAGAAAGTGGAGAGTTTTCTAATCAGGGGGAGCAAAACAGCCCACAGGTGGAAGAGCCAATATTGAGAAGGTCAACCCGAGTTCGACAACCTTCAAGACTTTATCCAAGTTCAGAATATATCCTACTCACTGATGAGGGGGAGCAAGAGGTCTTGTCACATCCAGACAAAGACCATTGGCTGAAGGCTATGCAAGAGGAGATGAATTCTTTGAAGAAGAATCAAACATATGACTTGGTGAAGCGTCCAAAAGGGAAGAAAGTATTGAAGAGCAGGTGGTTGTTCAAGAACAAGAAAGATGGCCATAAGCTAGTGAGACGGAAGGCAAGACTGGTGGTGAAGGGATGCCATCAGAAGAAAGGCATCGACTACGATGAAATTTTTGCACCAGTGGTGAAGATGACTTCCATTCGCATGATTTTGGGACTAGCGGCTTGTTTGGACCTTGAGCTTGAGCAGCTTGATGTAAAAACTGCATTTTTACATGGTGATTTGGATGATGAAATTTACATGGAGCAGCCGGAAGGATTTGAAGTTAAAGGAAAAGAGAATTTTGTTTGCAAGTTGAAAAAGAGTCTTTATGGGCTCAAGCAAGCACCAAGGCAATGGTACCGCAAGTTTGATTCCTTCATGAGTAGCAATGGGTATAGGCGTACTACTGCAGATCCTTGTGTGTATTTTAGAAAGTTCTCTGATGATAACTTCATTATCCTTTGTTTGTATGTTGATGATATGCTGATAGTGGGACAAGATGTTGAGATGATTCGCAGGTTAAAAGAGGATATGTCAAAGTCCTTTGAAATGAAAGATTTGGGTAATGCGAAGCAAATTCTTGGCATGGAAATTGTTCGTGATAGAAAAGCTGGTAAGCTTTGGCTGT